GGGGGAAATGTTACTTTTTCTGTAACTGTCAACTTTCAAGTTGAAAAAACATTTACCATTCATATCATCCACAAATATGAATTTGTCTGAATCACAATATGAAATTTCTCTTCTTTTTTTTTATCTGAAGGTGTTAGATAATACAGTATTAGATAAGAGCATATCAGATTCAGGAAGTTGGGAGTGCACAGTGCAGTTGAAACGCATAACTAACAGGTGGGCGGGGCTTGTGTGTCACTCTAATTGATATGAAGAGCCAAGAGTAGGAAAGAAAAACATGTAAAACTCTGTTTAGAGAAGTCTTCAATAAACACATAATCTCATCTCTTTCTGCAGGTGAATTTTTCCTCCAGTCTTGACACAGGTTCTGCTTCTGGATCTTGTTCTGTCAGTGGAGGGCAGTCCCACCTGCCCATGGTGGCCCTCTCACCCATCATCCATCCCCGCATCAGGGAGTTCCGGTCCGGCCTGGGCAGCGCCCGTAAAGGTGGGTTTCTAAGCCGGGCGGGTCTTCAGGTTGTTTTTGTAACTTAATGTTAAATTTTTTGTTTTCTCTTCACCTCTTCCAGATGTGCCTCCCTCTCCACTGTCCGTACATGACAGGTACAGCTCTCCTGCAGCTGGCAGCGCGAAACGGCGTCTCTTCGGTGACGACCCACCAGCTCCGTCACCAGGCCTGAACGCCGGCTTAAGCCCAATGTCCTCTCCAGCAAAGAGGCTGACCTTTGGCACAAGCAGCACCCTGAAGATCGCAGGACAGGGGACACAAACCACCGTCCTGACTATCCCACTGCCAGGTGCTTACACCTTACACCGTTCCTGTTTCACTGTTGTCATGGTTGCATCATCAGCCAAAACAGGATAAAATTACATATTTTTTATTTCTTTCTTTTTTTTAAACCTCCCTGGCACTGAATAAGCTGAACTGCCACCAAAAACAGAGACTTGGAGCACTCGCATTTGCATTTCTTTACACAGAGTATTCAGGCTCCATACAGAAGAAGGTCAAACCCTCAAACTGAGACAGTGTTAGTACCTTGCTCTGATGCTGGACATGGATTTAAGCCTCTATCCCTGACATGCTGATAGTTTTCTTTGCTAAAATAAGTCCACATAAACGTTCAGGCAGTTGGTTTTTCCTGCTAAACATCTGTTTGTGGGAATATCTGCAGGTACAAATAACACTGACCGCACCATCACGCTGATCCCGGTTCAGCCGTGTGATTCTTCTGCTCCCATCACGGCTCAGTTCCTGCTGACCGCCTCCCCGAGCCGGCCCACCGCCGTTGCCGCGACCTCTGATACCCAAGCAGGAAATGGACGACCGAGACGCACAGGATCACTCGCTCTCTTCTTCAGGAAGGTACGGACTGTGAAAGGAGTGTGACATTTTACGACAGGCTGGTTTCATAAAAATCTCTAGTTCTAAATTTAAGAATTTAGAATTTGATATTTTTATGTTTCTATAACCTGATCACTCTACTCTTTTTGTCTGGGAAAGAAACGCGTTAATAAATAAACCTTAAAATGTGCAGAACATAATACAGGTTCCAGTTTAGATGATAAACATCCCACTAGAGCTACAACCAACAATTCAGATTTAATCTCTTGACTTCTTTTTCCTCCTTCCCGCTCAAAAAAAAAAAAAAAAAAGAGCCCTTTTTTATTTGTATTTTTGTTCACATAAAATGTCTCTTTCAGATCTTTGATCAGAACTTTGTATGTCATGCATTACACTGGTGGTTAGAGTAATACAGTTTCATTCTCTCTGAATATGAAAATAAGTAAGAACTAAATACTTTTCAGTTTTAAGATGTTTACTCGAGTAACATGAGCTGCATTAGCCACTGCCCTCCATACATTTATCTTTGACATTTTATTTTTCTACTTGTACAGCAGCTGGAAATGATGAATTATGAAATTGGCAGGACACATAAATCTCGTCCCTCTGCCCTTGCAGGTGTATCACCTGGCTAGCGTACGTCTGAGGGATTTGTGTGTGAAGCTGGACATCTCGTCCGATCTGCGAGGGAAAATCTGGACTTGTTTCGAGCACTCTCTGGTCCACTATACCAATCTGATGAAGGACCGGCACCTCGACCAGCTGCTGCTGTGCAGCATTTACATCATTTCCAAAGTGAGAACCCGGAGAAAAGCTTCACATTTAATTAAGAAGAACGTATGGCAGCTGTTTTTAAACCACCTGAGGCTGCTGCACTGGCTTGCTGGGAAATGTCTTTCTGGCATTTTAACACTGTTTTCTAATTTCTCAATCATGATTTTTCTCCTCGGAGGGAAATGTGTTTCTGACAGCTGCTGTGACCAGCGACCTGTGCAGGAAAGCCAGGCTGAGTCAGCCAGAGAAAAGCAGACAGTTTATTCACAACATTTTATCCTTTAGCTATCTTAGCTGTCAGTATAGTTTCTCCGATGGAGAATACATTTAATACATGCAGGCTGTTACTAACCTTGCAAATGAAGCCCAGCTGAAAGTTTGAGCAGCATCAACTGTGTCACATCATCGCAGTAGTGTGTATGCATCCTGTTCATTTGTTCTTTTTATAATTGAGCCCAAGTTTCTTTTCCACTGCTGGAAATTCAACTACTAGAACAAAAGAAACATGTGCTTGTAGCAGAGGTAAGGATACCTGAGTTTCTCCAGAACAACTTACCAGAAGGATCAGGGCGTCTAGTTTAAGAAATCAATTTTGTTTGTACATCTCTTGACTCCTCCCTTCCTTCCTTCCTTCCTTCCTTCCTTCCTTCCTTGTAGATCACCAAAGACACTCACACCTTCCAGGACATCATGAAATGTTACCGCAGCCAGCCGCAGGCCAACAGCCACGTGAGAAACCCCTTTAACACAAGCTAATTACCGATTCTCTTAATCAGTAATGTTATGTTTGTAGAGGCTCCACTCTTACACTCTGTGTTTATACATGTAGGTGTACCGCAGCGTCTTACTGCGTCGCACTCCCAGAGAGCAGGTGGCTGATGAAAACATGGAGGTGGATCCTGTTTCGGGTGGAGAATGTAAGCTCTCACAGACATATGTTTCTTAATGACTTGCTTTAATGTAGCATCAAAGCAGCAGTGTTTATTGGCAGCCGTATTTCATGAACATTTCTAATCAGTTGTTGCATTTAAAAACTGGCAGCATCTTCTGCGCAGCAGTTTGATATCTGAATTTAACCTTTTAAGATGTTTGAGGTTAGTCAGGGATTCTCTCTTTATTATTTATTTATGTATTTGTACACGCTGAAAGCTTCAGGTAAACTTGTGACTTTTTACAGATGGCGCTCTGATGGCTGACACATTATCCATCTTTTTTTATGCTTTTCATCAGACATATAGTCTATAGTGTTATCTTCAGGGGAATAAAAAATATACATGTATTAGCTGAGAACATCCATCTGTGTGTATTCTACCACCTCCATCTGCCCCAGCAGCCGACACTCATGCTGTACAAACATAAAATACTTAAACTGCAGTAGATAAATCTGACTAAGACCTGGAAACGTCTCAGATTCTCAAACTGTCTCAACTGAGCTCCTCCTTCCAGACACCGTCCATAGGAAGTGCACTGGTCACTGCCCACAGCTGAAGCTCTCTGGCTTCACTCTCCCCTCACTCATGCACAACACCCAGCTAGACTTCATCTCCTCTACCTAAAGCACCTACTCCTTCCTCCCCACCTGGATCAGGCAGTTCCCCCTTTTCCAGCTGAGAACCTACAGCCTTAGATTAACTGAGAGAAATGCTAATTAGCTTTAACATTATTTCAGTTATGGTCCCATATTAGGACTCATCAGAGGGGATTTAACCAGTCTAATTCTGGGGCACGAGTGCTTTGAAAATATGCACGAAAACGTCCCAATAAAGAAAGAAATAGAGAAACGACAAACTTGTTTTAATACATGAGGAAAAACACGACATCGAGTATGATCAGACCGAAGGAGGAGATACTAGAGCTTGTGTTTTTACCCAAAGTAAAAAATTGATTCAACCCACTATTTAGTTATATGACAGGAAGAGGAAACAGTGGAGGGAAATTAACGATGTAGTTAGGTGATAGAAAAGCAGGACTTTAAGCAGCTGGCTGAAAAGCTGATGATATGAGGAAGGAAAAAGTGGAGCTCGATATTTGATAAATTACTCAAAACCGTTAATTTGCTTTTCTCTTCAGCTGCAGAGAAAACCAATCAGCACTCGGGAAACTTAAACTGCAGCCAATCAGGAGGGGAGGAGGAGCGTGGTGACCTCATCCAGTTTTACAACACTGTGTACGTCCTGAAGATGAAGAGCTTTGCTCTGCGATACGCCACCAGCGATAACCGGGTACGCTCCTGCCGTTACCTGTCTCCAAGGTAACGAGATTATTGCGTGGGTGAATGTTTGTTCTTGTTTGACGTGGCTGTGTCGGTTCCTCCAGGCGGACGCTCCTCCTCTCTCTCCGTTTCCGTCGGTCCGGGCTCAGCCTCTGTCTCCTCGCCGGATCTCTCAGAGACACTCGCTCTACGTCTCCCCTCACAAGAACTCAGCAGGCTGTCTCACGCCGAACTCCTACACCTACAGGATAAACAGCAGCCCGTCTAAGGCAAGAACACACTGTCACTCACACACATGGCGCCAAAGAGTCTCTGTAACAGGACCGAGCTGTATCTGCGATAAAACACAATGTGCCGTTAGTTCTATAAGGTTGTAAAGGACGGCACATCCATCGAAGACTCTGAGTCAAATGGATGAAACAGTTCTGTGCTTCATAGCTGTTGTATCACTCGTCCTGATTGGGACACAGAAATGTGTTGTTTTACACTTTTCTCTGAAGTGTCTGTTGTTCAGTGTTGTTTAACTTCCCAAAACTTTTTAGTCATCTTTTTCGATTCACATTGTAGTGATGATTATATGCAGGCGCTTCTAATATTCTTGTGAATTTATAGTTGGGGGTCTCTCCCCTTTCACAATAAGTGCCCAGAAGCATTTCAAAGATGGCTGCAGAGTGGTGGGATTTGCTTCTAAAAGACTGTATTTAACCGTTTCAGCCGAGTAAGGTCCTGTAACTCCTAAACTTTCTGTTGATAATTTTAGTCTCATTTAAATCTTGGTCCTTGGTCTCATCAGTGTAATCAGTCATCATCTAGAACAAAGTCTTAAAAAGTGTTAATGGTCTGTAGAAACAGCCTCACAGTTTATTAAAAAAGTGTTTTAAACACTGCTCAGGACACATGAAAGGTTTTGTACTAGTTTGTTGTCGTTATCAATAGCTGTTTGTGTGTTGGGAGGGTGTTAAGAGCTCTGATGTACAGCTGGGACATAAACCCAGATTTACAAAAATCCTTCCAGGAAAATATCCTCTACAGATTAGATTTAAAAAGAAAAAACATTTATCATTCATATCAAACACAAATATGAATTTGTCTGAATCACACCATGAAATTTCTCTTTTTTTTTTTTTTTATAATCTGAAAGTGTTAGATAATACAGTATTAGATACGAGCATATCAGATTCAGGAAGTTGGGAGTGCACAGTGCAGTTAAAACTCATAACTAACAATAATACACTATAGAAATAAAATGGAAGCAATGCTTCAGTGTGTCCTTTCCTCTCTGCAGGAGCTGTCAGACATCAACCGGATGATCCGGCAGGGCTGCGTGAGCAGGAAGAGAGCCTTCAACATGGAGGGGGACGTCATGATGTCGTCGGCATGCGACTCCCCGAGTAAGAGGGCGTGTCCGGAGAACGGCAGCAGCCCAGATGTGCTACTGAAGCGCCTCCAGGATGTCGTGTCGGAGCGGCAGAGTCACTGATGGGCCGACAGAGGGACAGAAACTCAAACCTGAAACTGCCAGGAAAGTAATGAAGCATTAAGATTAACGGCTCCTCAGGTTCAAAAAGAAAAATCCAGCGACACACAGAGACGTGTTTGATTTCAGGAAACGTAAAGCTAAGGTGCCTGTTTTATGTCTCACATTTGATTTTAATCCAAGGGCACAAGACACCGAACGCACAGCGATATTGATGCTTTTCTTGTTTTATCCACAGCAAGTTGTAGTTCTGCTTCCTGTCTGTCGATCACATTGTTTGATCCACATCACGAAACAAAACTCACACGAGGCGAAACGCTCACTGAGAGTTGCGTTACGTCTTTGCACAGAGGTGCTTGTTATATTCGTGTTCAATCCTCGGTGTGACTCACGTTCAGTTCCTTTCAGTTTTAATCCCGCCCCTTTAATTTAATCAACCAATCCGCTTGAATCAGAGGTCCCGTTTTTGATCTTTGAGCTTTTAATTGTTCAGTTGCCTCCACTCAGACTTACTGCCAGTTTGTCCTAGTGGCCACCTGTGGTATTGCACCTGAAATTCCACAGGGAAAGGGTTTTTGCTTTCCCGCAAACCTCTGGGGGGGGGGAGATGTGTAATGAGGTCGGTTTTAATTGTTCTGGTTTTAAATTTTGTTGATGGAGGGATTAATGTTTCTAAAATCGCTCCTAGCAGCTGAAAAATCTGTGTGTGCTTAGATACATGTAGATCCCAAATCGGGGCTTACATCCCTGCTGCCGCCGTCTTATTCAGGAGGTCTGACTGACTTTGGATCACATTATTATACTAAACAGCAAAGTTGTTTTTCAGCTCTGTGGTGTTCCAAAGAAACAGATGCTAAATCAAAGCACCAATTATATATATTTCTTTTTTTTTTTAAACAGATTTTACTGTTTGAGAAACATGTTTGATTAGATAACAATAAGTAATCCTTCCTCTAATCTGACTTTTTGTTTAAATCAATGTCCTGGCATTATAATAAGCTAATGTTGGCTTATGTCAGGAAGGATAAACACCTTTTATACTACTATTATGAAAGCTGTGCTACAAGTCTTATTATGACATATAAAGGATGTTAACTGGCTCGTCAGCTGTGGTCATCCTAAATTACCCGGTCGAGCGTTAAAAAGTTAAATATGTAGCTGGATTGTGGCTATATAAATATGTTAACCTGCACTGCGTTGTTCACATAACTGCTGATTTGTGTGCAGATTGCTAAAAGATAAAGTCAGAAGACTATCGTGGACTCCAGCTCTTCAGACTGAATCCCTCGTCTGCAACTTTCATGTAAAGTACTTGACAGGAAGATAAACTGGATTCAATGATGGAGAAGTCCCACTTTTATATTTAACATCAAAACAGAGCTGAAAATAATCAGCTATGATTCAAAAATTTGGTAAACCTATTCAAGCGTTTGTAACTGCTTGAAAATCAGTTGAAATTTCAGCAAATTCTGATGATTTTTAATTATGCATAGGCCTCTTCCTTCACAGACGTAAAGCATTAGAAGCCCAGAGCCTCCTGAACAATATGGCGGCCTTGTTCTTGCATTGCTTCACTCAGTAACAGCGATCGGTGTAGCGTCTGTGTCAATGGACTCTGTAAGCCAAGCGGTAACTTGTCATTCTCAGGCGAGCGTGACACATCTCCATGGAGTCGTTCACAGTCGCAGTCCCACCTAAAAACAAACTGTGGACTCTGCCTGTAAACTGAGCCTGGTGGTGATCATCTCATTTATTACAGTCGCCAGCTGAGCATCACATGCAGCCAGCTTGATGACATGTCTGGGGTCAGACGTTGGTCTTTAAGCAGCTGTAGTAGCAGACTTTGTTTTTCAGTGTGGCGACAGCTGTTTGCGTGTTTGTGACTCAGCACTTTAAAACTCTCTTTCATACTGCAGGAATTACCTTTCTTTGTTTTAACAGACTCAAAGAATATTTGATATTTGGAGTATCTAATCATCCACACCTCTCATACATGATTTCCAAAACAAACAAAAAATAAACACCTTCTCTTCTTTCAGAGAAATCTGATGTGAACACTTTTTGATTCAGAGAGCCTTTATACATGAGTTTTCAGGGTCAGACCTCTCAGCCTGTCTGTGTTGGTGCCTTTTTTGTACATATGCAAATAAATAACAGTATTAAGGAAAATAAGTGGAGAAAAGGAAACGCAGAAGTATCTGAACCTTTTTCAGATGTCTGAAATAGTTGAACGTCTAAACCGTGTATCGTTTCCTTGAGATGATGTCTTTCACTACACTTCCTGCAGATGTCTCCTCTTTGTTTGGAGACTTGATTTCTGTGGAGAAAACGTCTTTTATTAGTTTTAATGTTTCTTTTTATTTTGTGGTTTGAACCATGTTGTGCTGTAATTACAGGTGTTCTGCTCGGCTAAAGCAGCATTTTTGTACGCAGGTGTGTAGTATCTACACTCGATTTTATTCTATGATGTGTTAGAAATCAGTCTCTCAGCTTCTACCTGCCGTGGCTTTCTCATAATTGCTAAAAAAGTTTTGTAAAATAAACATTTAAAAGGTGTTGAGTTGTTTTATGGAAGGCCTTAAAAACACTGATCGATGGGCGTCGCCCGTCAACTTCAGTGATATTTGTATTTTCTACAAATAGTCAAGTTTTGTATAATAAAACTCTTCATTGTGAAATTTAGCTTTCATGTGTCCCCCTTATTTCATTTTTTTAATTTTCTTTGGTGAAAATATTTTTAAAAATAATTTAAAAGTGAATTCTTGACTTTTCACATCACTTGGGGGGGGGGGGTGATCAGTACCATGAAGGTCCTGGGTGAGTGGCCACCGGGCTGCTGAGGCCTTTCTGGGTGGAGTCTCCCTGCACCGCCGTGGTTTTTCTCCGGCTTCTCCCACAGTCCAGACCTGATGTTAGGTTAACTGGCCCGAGGACAGCTGGGATAGGCTCCAGCCTTCCTGTGACCCTAAATTGAATGAGTAGAAGAAGAGGGATGGATGACTGGATAATGTAAGTCGAGGCTCCTGAAAACCACTAAATGGCCCTTGTGGTGAGGTTCCACTGGTCAGGAAGTGACCACACTTCAACTGTTATTTGGTAGATTCAGTTTTATTCTGTAACTCAAGACATCACTTGTTCACTTTTTCTGTTTTCATATATTCATTGTGATTTTCTGATGATTTGCTGAGATGCACCGTATTTTTCTTCTTTGTCCTCCGGGCTCGCATGCTGAGACAATGTCTGACATTTTGATCGGCTCTAAAGTGAACACCGCAGGCCGGGCACTTTAGGTAAAAGCCAGACTTTACAAATGCCAGTGAAAGCAGAGAAGACTGTCGTCACAGGTTAAGTGCTGGCTGCCCACTCTTTTCTGAACAGGGAAAATTTTGAGTCGACACCAAACCGCACGCTGTGCAGATTTCAGCAGAGATCGAAGAAACTACTGCAAAGAAAAGGAAAGACGGGGGAGAATGTAGTTCTTATGGAGTGAAGCTGGCGGGGGTCTTTTTTTGGGCAGAGGAGAATATAACAACGTGACTCACTTTGAGTGTCAGAGGGGAAAAAAAGTGTATATATTTCCATGAGATGAACCAGTTCAAAGGATGGCTACCAAACAGAAAAGCAGATGAAATAGCCGTTCAGGCTCTTGTTCTTGAGGTTAACAGTGCTTTGCGCTTTGTTTTTAATTCCATTTATGGTGGTTTCTCTTTGACAGACCTTGACAATCATAAATCTATCATCTCTTCAAATTCCTGACTGGGTTAAATGTTGCCACGTTTGTTTTCGTTTGCAAATATTTTGCTAAACTCTTTGAATAAGAGATAAAAGTCTGCGCTTCAATCACATCTTAATCGTTTCATTTAAAATCCACCGTGATTGTGTACAGACGCGAAACTACAAAGACTGTGACTGGATCTCTTTGGCTGTGCCTTGAAATTCTGACAAAGGGCAGCTTTGTATTAAAGTTACTCTAATGGTATTCAGAGAAAACTCAAACACTGTGAGGAAAAGAAGAAAATCTTAATTCTCCTCATCCTCATGAATGCAATCGTTTTTATCCTGTTAAACTGAACACAAAGACCTGATCTAAAATTAGCCCGGCTCAGTATTTAGGCCACCTCTGTGAAGCTGCCTGAGAGTCATCCTCTCTGTGGTTTGTCTGTGCAGCGTCTCTGACGGGCCACACGTCCCCCCACCTTACGTCTCCACAAGGTGAGTGCTGATAATTTGCCCGAGGCTGCAGTGAAATGCATCCCGGTCGTCGTGACATGAGATTATTCACCGTCTCACACCCTGCCGGCTCTTTGTTCATGGATGACTTCACACCAGCAGCCAGTGTTTCTTCACTGAGACCGAGCAGGAGGCTCAGAATCTGTTAGAGGAAACCTGTGATGTTTAACATTTTACCTGCCACTGCTGTTCCTTTATGAGGTTCTTTTCACAGTCATGACGCCCTGATCTAAATCACCGCTGTAGGTTCACTTCCACTGCTGGCAGCCATTTATCCAAGATCCAAAAGTCAGGTCTACAGTATACAACGCTGTTAAACAAGGCACAGACTGTATTTATCAGATGGACACAGCTTATGGGTGTGAAAGACTCACCGTGGGAGTGCCTTAAACCTGCATTCTCTGTAATGGCCAGCAGGGGCCGACTGCTCTGACCGTATGGACTTCTATAAGAAAACAGCTCTACTGCTCCCCTGATGTCTGCCCTTTACTGATGAATTAATGGTCTCATCTGAAATTTTCAAGCCTTACTGAAAGACCCAGTGCTGATTTTAAAACTCTGAGGTCTCCATTAGTGTACAGAAGAAGGATGAAACAGGGCGTGGTGCCCTTAGTTTCTTAGGTTGAAAAAACATTCAGCTTGTGACCAAAGAACTCCCGCTCTGAACTTGCAGCTTCATAAGGGGCTCTTGAGAGATTGTCTACAGTAAATAATGGTTCTATCAGCCTGCAGGCCAAAAATTACATTTTGGACTCTTTTTCTTTTGGAAATTTTGAGCATCATTTTGGTAGAAATGGATGACATAATAGACATGCTTCCCTTTTTTCTATACAATTTAATACATTTTCCTACACAATATGTCTTTTGTGGTAAACACACGTATCCTCAGAAGTACAAGGATTCAGAGAAAATGCAGAAGGAAGTCCAACATTCGCTTTGTGACTAACTGTCATATAATGTTGTCTTTTCTTCTTGTTTTCCATCAGCCTCAATAACAGAGTTTAGATGTGCTTGACTGGTAAAAATCCTCCCAAAACACAGAAATGTGTGACATCTTTTGAATGTGTAGAAGGTTTTAAACATCTCTGAGATATTAAAGTTCACAGGACTATGAATTATTCATGGCCGGCCGACGCATGCACGTTCATTGCATTCTGACTTTCCCATCTCGAGCCAGGGAAACAGAATCACATGTATTATTGTGTGTGTGTGTGTGTGTGTGTGTGTGTGTGTGTGTGTGTGTGTGTGTGTGTGTTGCCTCCGCAGAGATAATACTAAATGAGAAAGAAAAAAAGCAATATTTGTTCAACTGATGCGAGATTTTTGTCGTTTCTTTACTTAAAATAAATAAATTTCTGCCATAAACGGATTTGGTAAAGACGTAAATTTGACACCAAAATGAAGAAACTTAAATATCCAATGTTAAAAAATTCTTTAACACTAAAAATACTCATGAACTAAGAATATTTTCTTTCAGGGTTTCTGCCAGTTTCAGGTAAAATCACTCCCTGATTTCCTGATTTTGGAGAAGAATCAGATCTGTCAGATCACAAACGCCTCAATTAACAGGCTGCAGTTTGGTTTGGGGGCGCTGTTGCCTCATTAAATTAGGGAAAATGTCGTGAAGTGATGTAGGTCAAAAGGCGCAGAGTGGAGAGGTTCCTGTGACTCCACCACCACCAGCTCAGCTCAGCAGACACCAGCAGGGAAAGCCACGAGCTGGTTTTGCGCATGGTCAGTTTCACCTCAGTCATTTTTTCGCCTCTCTCTCTCCCTCTCTCGCTCTCCGTCCTCTTCACTCATCATCATCCAGCAGCATCCATCTCTCCGGATGTCCACAGCCGTCGGATTCCTGTCTGGTCGCGCCCTGGGCACCAGGTAAGACCCCGCTGTCATCCCCATCACTGCCCGCTCTCAGTGCTCCGGTCCTCTCATCGGTGCCCCTGCAGGTGATCGAGGCTTTTTTTCCTTTCTTTTTGTTTTTTTTCTCTCGGGTTTCTGGGATGCATCGCGGGGTGGATGCTGCCTGCCTGGATACTGACTCGTTTCCCGGTGTTTCCCTCCAGAGAAATCCGCACTTGAGTCGCTGCCTGGTTGCATAATTTACCTCTGAATGCGATCATCGCAGACTCGGACTCTCCTTCCTCGTTTGGTCCGTGTTATCTGCCGTCTGCTCGGGGTAATGAAAAGCGTGTCAGTCAGTGTGGTGCTTATCTGCCCTGGTTCATCCTGATATCATCTACACACACACACACACACACACACACACACGCACACACACAGGCGGAGTGCACTGGTTCAGGTTTTGGCAGTTTGGCGCATCGCAAGGTCACGGTGGTGCTGGAGCACAGCCACAGGGTGGAATGACGGGTTGCTCATGGGCACTCGGGCTCCCAGATGTGATCCATCGAGGCGGGCTCTGATGATAAACGAGAAGTGTGTCAGTGGGCTACTTTAGCCCGGAGCTCCCCGGAGATTACAGACGAGTGATGCGCTGCTTTGTGGAGCAGAAATCACAGCTTGGTGAAAAGGCTGTGCTGTGTTAGAGCAGCCCCGTCTAACATGTGGCCTGCTGTTGGGAAGTCATTCATAGTGATGAATAATTGTTAATAAGTTGCTTTGCTGGTCTACAAAGAAGTAATATTTTGCTCATTCGGTTACAAAACACTCCGCGTGGAGATGTTTTCTGCCTTTAAAGAGCTGCTGTGAATATCCCTGCGCGTGTAAGAAGAACAACAGTCAGACTTCATGTTTACATTGCATTTATTTTCTTTAGAGCAGGGGCGTGCCCAGAGCAGGACAATTATACTAGAAGGAAATGGATACAAGCTGTGGTGGATTGTAACTTAGTACATTTACTCAAGTACTTTACTAAAGAATCATTTTAATGCACGTTGCTCCTTTCTACTTTTACTCCACTGTATTTTGGGTGTCAGTATTTTAGTACTTTTTACTTCATACCATTTATTGTAAAGCATGAATTACTTCATATATTACATATCTAAGAATATCAATATGAATGTGTTATCCTGTGTTAGGGACTGAGTGCTGTGTAGAGGAAATTACATTATTGTGTTTGGGATGTTGAAAATGATGCCGTTGCCCATCAGATGCCTTTGCATCAGTTTTGGCAAAACCACTGGTTCTTTGCTGAGCTGCCTGGAGACACAACACTGGTCCCATTTTATGCTTGAATGATTCATGGGTCAGTGTTAAGTGGCTGAGCAAAAAAAGGTTTTTAAAGCAGCCAAGGTCTAAAGAAAAACTTTGAAAGACTTTCAGAAATTCTGGATCCTTGGAAGCAAAATCTAAAGAAATAAGGGACTAATAAGGTTTAAGACTTGCACAGTATGATTGTAACAGCTGGTTATAGCTTTTACTTAAGGAGAACTTCTTTCACCACTTTGAAAAACATTATTAAACATTGCTTAACATGAAACATTGTTTTCTATGCTTGTGGGGCCATTTTTTCTGTAATGTTTTTTACGCTGCACTTTATTTTTAATCAAACGCTCTGATTTCCTGTAGGGTCCCTGCCTTGTTTTATGCCATTCAATTTTAAAAAATCATTAAAACAAAGACTTTAATAGATTGTTTAATAGCTTTTATTATCCAGTCATTTTAACTCTCCTGCCCACTTGAGATCAGTTTATCAAATTGGGTTGATTTTGACTATGAACTAAAAGCGTTTTTTATACTCCCACATTGGATCTTCAGACTTGAGCTATCGAGCCTCTTTAATATTCACACCAGCTTGTGCTTGATAAGGATCACACCCGGGGCTCTGAGGTGTTAACCAGCACAGGCAGACAGTTTCTTCTCTGTGAAACAAAAATAAATAACTCAGTGCATTTTTAACCTCCTAAGACCCGAACTTTTCACAGCATGCATTTCTAATTTCTCTTTGATATTTGGTCACATTGGGGCCCGATGAATGTAAAAACAGAGAATTACCTGATTTTTTTTAACCTTATTTTTGTTTCTAAGAAAAATAAGAGCCACATATGAGGATATTCGTTTAAAGTTTTGATAGAACAGCAGCAGTATAACGTCCTCGTAAGTGGATATCAGGCCCATGTAGAGCAAAATTGAGTATTTTAGTCTAAATAACCCAAAATGTGATGTCCACATATGTGGACGGCAGGTCCTAGGAGGTTAAAGCAATTGCCTCACTTTGTTTAAATTGCTCCCTGCTGTTAACGCATCTCTATGCACATATATCAGTTTTCACCTTGACCTGGTTTAAAGAGCTTACAATGAATTGAAATCAGCTGCAAACATCTCTCTCTTCCTTTACTTTAGGATTTAGCTGGTTTTAACTCTCCATCACCGGGAGAAGTGTCAGCGCGACAGTGATGACAGGGAGAAGAAATGGGAATGAATAACCATGAAGGTGAGACGTGTGTGATTAAATGTGTGATGGATTCCTGTCTGCAGGTGGTGTGGAGACAGCAGGCCTGCAGGATGAATCCCCTCTCAGGTGTGACAAATAGTGCACGATTCTTCTGGTTTCACTGAGGCGGAAGAAGAAGCGAGACGTTTATTTCACTTGAGCAAATGTGAAAACAGTCGAGTAAAAATTTGCATTTGAAAGTAAAAATGTTATTTTAATGCATTTGTGAGACAGACCCATTAAAATTAATCAAATTATCATAAATCGCTGGAATTAGTTTTGATTAATATATATATGAGTACACAGACGTGTAGTTTTCATTTTGAGCTGATTTGTACTTGTTCTCAGTCACTTCTTGTTATAAATGTCTTAAAAATATGCAAACTCATTGCCTCAGAATAAAATTAAGTAATATCAGGGATGAGTTTTAACTAACTTGTTTATTTTGAGTCTGCAGCACAGAGCTCAGTAACACAAACAGCCTGGTCAAAAACAATGTCAGCAGTTATTATCCAGTGTTTAATTACTGCAGTGATTAATATGTTTCAGCTGCCAGCAGGTTATGTAATCCTAACTGCTTCTCATTTCTTAAACAACCACGTAGGAAGACACAGCCCATAGTGGAAAACATGTTACTCTGTTTCATGAGGATCAAATTATTGACCTGCATCAAGCAAAGAAAACAACCAAACAGAAACACTGAAGCAACTACAGCTGGTTAAGAACTGTTCAATGTGTTATTAAAACCTGGAAAGATAGAGTTAAACCATCATCTCTGAAGAAGAAATTCAGTTGAATAAAAAGCATTTCTACATGTGCAATCTGAAAAGAGCTCAACCTTAAGAAAACTACCGATCGCTGAGGTGAACCAAGAAAAAGGAGCATAAACACTGAGCGAAGGCTGAGCCATGCAGTCTGCCTTTACAAACATTTATGAAAGAATGGGTCGTTCTGAAGAGTGCACTCAATTCAAGTGTGGCACTCTAACAGGAAAAGTCAGTTCATGAAATTTCTTCCTTCATAGAGTTTCCATAATCAGCTGTAAGTGGTATTATTGCAAAGTGGATGCATTCAGGAACCACAGCAGGGATTGGCCAGTACGTACTGACCAAACTTCCTCTGACATCATCATCAGCACAGCTCCTGTAGGTGTGCGGTGTTGGAGGCCCAGTGCGTTTGTTCATATCGTAGAACAAAGTAGAGGACGTGTGCTTAATATTAGGGTAAACAGGAAGTCAGATTCTTCTTTGAACATTAAAAGTTTCACCAGTTCATCGATGAATTCATGTGCACGTTTATGGAAATTTTACAAAGATTCCTAAAAAATGGGATGGATCTGAAGTAACCCTTTGACAACTTGAGAACCACTTCTGACCATGACTGATAAATAAACTATAAGGCTACATGTTATTAATGTCTAGATGTGAGCCTACGATCAATCCAGTCTTAACCAGAGACACAGAAAATGATTTTTTTTGTAGGTCAAGTCAGGCTCCGTTGGATTATATAACTGCTTTCATATGTGTCATGAATCATATAATATTTAATCTATTTATTCAGTGAGGATAAAGCCGAGTGGAGGTCCAATGAAGACATGAGCACATATCGATGGAGTCCTCTTTCAACACCGTAGAGCTCCGGGAGCTGCGAGGGAGTGGAGCCCGGCGAGGCCCGTCTCCGACACCGACTTCAGCACCCTGGACAGCAGCGACGCTGGGCTGCTCCGCCCGGGGCTTTGAGAACGCCTCCTACGAGCAGGATGAGGAGCAGGACCTCCGTCAGCAGGAGCAACAGCCGACGAGTTATCCGCCTTCCACATCAGGAAACAGTAAGGTGAGCGCGGTGGGGTTTGGTGGTTGTGGCAGACATTTGTTTTGGATGTTTTTAAAGTCGCTTAAAACAGTCCTTATGTGACCTCGGCAGATTCGGGTTACAGAGCGAACCCCGTAGCCAAAAGTGATGTAACCTTCCAAATCTAACCTGAGCCAGAAATCCAGCTTCACAGGCATCTCTTTGGAAGATGAACCCTGTGAGAAGAGACAAACACACGCTGGCGTACAGCTGCGGGCCTGGAAAAAGAACGTGTCCAGGGTTTTCTGGCATGTTTGTCTTCAGGAAACAAACAGATTTAAGCTTCCTTCTTAATTGGAAAATGGCTTTGTACTGATTGCTGTTTAGATGCCTTTGGGGTGACATCACTCTCCCGCCCGGGCTTTTATTTTGTATGTGCTGTTTGTTAGACTGTCACGACTCCACGGAGCTCATCTGTATCTGTACAGCTTTTACTGACACATGTCGGCGACATTCATCAGTAACAGGTCGTCGCGCCGACGCATTTTCTCCTCTTTGATGTGATCTCACTGCTTTCTGTGAACGCTGACCTCAGCGCTGTGCTCTGGCTTGTTTATCTCATCCTTCTTGCTTTCCTTGTGTTTTCTTCTTCTAATTCTTTCCTCCCTCTCCACTTCATTCCTTGCTTCTTTTCTTTCTTTCTCAAATTCTCTTTCTTGTATCACATCTTTACTTTCTTTTATCTTCATATTCCTTCTTTTCTTTACTCTTTCCATTGTTTCCTCCTTTCCCTACTTCCTTTTTTTATTTGACCCTTTTTTCTTTCATTTTTCTTTTTGTCTTCACCTGTCTGTTGTTCCTACCTTCCTTTTTTCCCTTCCTTTTTCCTCCCTCTCCCCATCTCCCTTTATTCCTTCCTTCTTTCGGTTCCTGCTCCCTTTCCCTTTCCCTCTGTTTCTTCACTTCATTCGCTCCTTCTTTCCTTGTGCTTTTATTAATGATTTTATCTGTTCTGTCTTTTCCTTAACCCCTTCATTCCCCCTTTTTCTGTTCTTATTTATATATTTTTCTTTCCTCTGTTCTCTTCTTTCCTTGTTTCCTTCCTCCCTTTCTCACTAGCATCATCATCAGGAGATCTCACCACAGTCGTATGATGAGGAAGAAGGCGGTGGTGGAGCAGGTGGAGGTCAGGAGGACGGTCAGGACTTCACTGAATTTCGCCCCGTTGATGACCACTCGGCAGACTATGGCTTCATCTTGGCGCTGGTGTTCCTCGTGAGTGGGATCGTCCTTGTGGTAATCGCCTACACCATCCCACGGGAGCCCAAAGTCGACCCTGACTCAGTTTCGGCGCGACAGATGGAGAAGCTGGAGATGTACTACGCCCAGCTTGGCTCCCACCTGGATAAGTGCATCATCGCGGGCCTGGGCCTGCTGACGCTGGGAGGGATGTTCCTGTCCGTGCTGCTCATGGTGTCCATCTGCCGGGGCGAGATGTACCGACGCAGGGCGGCATTCGTTCGACCCAAGAGGACTTACGGCTCCATCAACCTGAGGATGAAGCAGCTGGCGACTGGAGAGGCGAGGTTAGGTGAGGGCGGGGATGGAGGCGAGGAGGTTTTGGTGGAATGCGCAGAGACGCGGAATAATGTACAGCCAGAGCCGAGCCGGGACTCCAAATCAGTACCAGGACCAAGCAAAAACCCTCCTCCTTCTCTTCCTGCTGCTTCTTCTTCTGCTGCTGCTGCACGTGGAGTCAACTAGCTCCACCCTCTGCCTTCCTCTGCGCGATCCCCCAGGTGCATTATGGGGATGCAGGTCGCCCGTTTGTGCCGAGGGGAGAACCCCATCTTAAGCAAGAGACTTCCTGCCGGAGCTGTTACCCGGCATGTAGGGATGAACTGAGCTTAAGGGATATTTATTCTGACCAATCACAAGGGATGTATGACTTTACAACAGAGGGCTCAACTGGGTGGAAGACGAGAGGTAAGCCTGTGGCAATGTGGATAAGAGCACATGTGGACATGAACGGATGCATATCAAAGATTAAAATGAAGATTTTGAATCCCAGTATGTTAATCAGATTCATACAATATAAAGCACATTATGATATAAAGCACCGCAGAAAGTAAGATTAACATCTTATTGTGAAAATTCTTTACTGATGCTGAAAGGAAGTTCGGTAATTAAATCTAGCCATATTTTAAGCCCTAACCAGCAGGTTCACCTTAACACACTCACACTAAATACTCGGCTTGCAACGCTGCTGTGAATAGCACTATAACAGACTTCACAGTAAATTACTGTAAAAGAAAGAGCAACTCGCAGTCATACAAAAAACAGAGGCAACAGTTTTGAAAGCTTAGCGACGTTCACCTCCAGCCATTAATACAGAAGGTTAACCGCAGAAAACCCTAAAAAAAAGCTTAAAATGTTCAGTTTAAACCTGCATTAAGCAAAATAAGTGACTGATTAAAAAGATGGAACAGAGCTCGCTTGGCTCCTTTTAGCTGCTTGTTTTGTTTTTCTGGCCGCACAGACAGATGTGGTTTAATGTTGGGAGGTGGATTCAAGCTGGAAAGGGTCTCA